TAAACAGAAAATCAGCCTGAGTGCAGGGGCAGCACAGACAATCACAGTGCACAGAGCACTGTGGCTCAGTTCCGCAGCTCCGCTAGCTCCGTACAAACCTCTACTTTGCTGCTCCATGCCACAGGAATTTCTCTCCCTGCCCTAGAGAATGGAGGGTGACAGTGTGAAACTCAGCATCCTCTGAGCACAGGTTGTCCTATAGATACCAGCAAAGAGCAGAGAACAGGGACAAAGGAAGGAGCACTGGCCCCCTGACCCTGGGAGGGAGGGAGAGAGAGTGAGGGAAGGCTGTGTTTAAGCACATGCCACAGGATGGGGACTGTTGCTGGCTGGCGGGAGCAGACGGAAAAATTGTATTTTGCTGAGGGATGTATATGACCATCCTGGCAGTGAGTTCATTGAGCATCCAATTTGTGGGGTTATGTTCAGCACCAGCCTGGGATGTACCCACTGGGTGCAAAGTGGTTGACTGTATTTAAACTCCTAAAGATCTTACATAAGCTAAAGCAGCAGAGTTGTAACAACCTCCCCATAACTTGGTTTAGGAGCAAGGAAGGGAAACAACGACCAAGCAAACACCAAGAGCATCTCTAGGCTGTAAATTCGGCTTTAAATGTATTCCCACTTTTAAATGAAAGACTACACTCTAGGAGCAAAGTACCCTCAAGCTGCTTGACAACACACCAGCTGTTAGCAAATTCCAGCAGTTCCAAATCTGCAGCGCCTGGGGCACTCAATTCTCCACACCAGCTCAGCTGCTACCTTCCTCTCTCCGGGAGGGAAGGGGTGCTGACTGCACACCTGCAGCTTTAGGGTGAGAAAGTGAGCTGAAGGCAAACAAGTCCCATCCCAGGGTTGCTCCACAGAAGTTTGAGGTCTGCTTTTGTGCTCGGTGTAGCTACCATCCCACCACCACCCGCCTCGCTGTCACTGCCATGTTTTGTGGCTGCTGGTGATTCCCACACACCTGTCTGCAGGTGCAGGGAATGAGAGCATGAACTGTGCCTTGTACTGTGCCCTCGACACCAACACGGATGCTAAAGCTTTCCAGGGGCCCCTCTCCCTGCAGGATGCTCTCAAGGACCAAGCCTTTCTCTAACACTTATTGAAAGTCAGCGTGCACTGGCTCTGTGCGTGCCTGGGAGCTGCTTGGCTGGGGTTACAGGCTGTAGTAATGCCGCAGTGAATCAGACCCTTAGTGTTTTGTTTAAATATAAACATATTGAATCAGTGCTTTTTGTGTAGAAGGCTATTCTCGCGAGCCAAGTGTTTTGACAGCTACAGCAAGGTGGTATGAGTCACTGCCTCTGCCTCACTCAAGCTCAGAGACAGATACATCTTAATCACATTACGTTTTTTCTCAGCGCTACACCACAAGTCAAGGCACGGGGCCAAATTTCCCCGCGGGGAGACTAACCAGCGGAGCGCTGAGTCCTGAGCCTGGGCTTTGTCCTTCCAGGCTGGACGAACCTTGGAAAAGCGCATTCAGCGTCCCGGCAGCGTTCAGCCGCAAGCCCTCTGCTGCTCACCAAGGACTCGGTGCAATTTGCAACAGCGGGAAGTGCTGCCGAGGGCTCGGGAGCCCCAGGGCAGGCGCTGCTGCTCACGCTGCCCGGTGTTTACACCCCGCCGGTGCCGTGCCTGCTCTGCATGCGCGGCACATCAGCACATCGGAGCACGGCGGCTGCAGCTGCCATTAGCGCTAATGGAAGTTTAAAATATAAATCCCATGCGCGGCAGTGAGGACGGAATAGGCGCCTCTGTCTCGAGCTTTGTAGCTCTCAAACACAGCTTCGCAGGGGCTTTAATTGTACTTTCAAAAGAGCAGAATATGTCCGTTCCTATTTGTTTCTCAGGGAATAATTATGGTGCTCGATGGCGTGGTACTCACAGAGTTATTAGGCATGTTTGGACAGAGGGTTATCTTATCTAAATTGGGTTGGAAATAGATTTATAGCACGGCAACTTCCCAGTTGAACTGCAAATTGCAAGAAATTTACTTCATCTGGCCCCTGTGCGCCTGCATTGCCCCAGTGACAGGAACCCCTCTTTGGCACGAATTAGTGCCGGGTGATTTCCACAGGGCTGCAACCTTGCCGAGACAGGAGCTAAGACAGAGTTTAATAAATGATTGAACAGCCAGGAAAAAAACAACCAAATCTCGTGCTTTTTCATCTCAGGCAATGGAGAGGAATCTGGAAGCCCCGGTCTGCACAGCAGCTCTGTCCCAGAACTTGTACGTGAGCCCTTGGGAGCATCCCCACACCTGCCTGTGCCTCCACCTCCCCTACCTTTTCTCTGGAAGAAAATTCATCCCTCTCTGCTCAGTGCTGCAGTGAAAGGGGTTGTACGAGTCGATACTATTTGGTGTCGATGCAGACATCTGCAGGGGGTAAGCACAGAGCCGGCTGGCCGAGCCAGACCTGCCGCCGCTGCGCACGGAGGTGGTGACTCAAATGTGCCGGTACCCTGCAGGGTTCCTATCGCAGCCTAAGGAGGGTAATCAATATACAAGCTAAAGCTGGCTGAGACGGAAACCATTTCTGAGCATCTCTTGCATGCACAAATAGAAAACCTCAGGCTTCTGAGCACACAGAAATTGGCCTTTATTTATTGGCGGGAGATGTGACTTGGACATGGCAGGACGTATCATCATGTCCTTGCGACTGCTGTCAAACTGCCGTGATAAATTCCCCCATCTCTAACCTTCAGAGCACTTGCAATTAGGGGGTGCTCAGCTGAAACCTGCCTCTGATTTTCGCGCTCTGCCGCAGCTTTTCCCCCTCTTCAGGGGAAGCATAAGCAGCTGGTCCCACTGTGGGATTCCCAGTTGATAACGCAAAGCTACCAGACCGCAGGCAGATGAACATGTGGATTGAAAACACATGCCAGCCCTAGGATTTCACACGGACTGCCAATCGATTGCAGTCCTTCCAGCGTATCGAGCCTTATCCCTCTCTCAGACAGAGTAAGCCTCCTTTCATTGACTCACGGAAAGGTGGGGACCCACAGCCGTACTGTTGTCTGCTGGCTTTGCACTTTAAAACTACCTTTTAGTTGGCTAATCGCTTTGCAGATCTCCCTAATTGCAGATTCTCCCTCGGCACACGTGTGTACAAGGCACAAGCATCTGAATAGCTCTCATGAGGGCATGAAGGCACGACACTTAATGGCTGAGTGACTATTCCTGTCTCGATTCCTACAATCCCACTACTTTTATCAATAGAACAAAATAATAATTCCAGGTTCACCCCCTTTCAACACTAATCCCAGTAAATTCCCTCACTCAGCTCGACCAGCTGAAGTCTGCAAACTTGTTAGTTACCTGAGGATGCGGAGTCAATCTGCAAAGGGTCTTTCTGGGATAATCTCAGCAGTTCTGGTAAGATTTCCCCCTCGCACGGGCTCAGCGAGCATTTCTGGCAGCACGGCACTGCTGAACGGTTACCTGGGGTGGTGCATCAAGGAGAAATACACATAGCTCAGGTGGCAAAGTCAGGACAAACACGGCAAGTAGCTGGACCACACGAGAAGAAAGTGCTATTTCAGCATCCCCACAGGGCTTAGTAGCAGGAATAAATAAGAGTTCTGATGTCACACCCAATTCTCTAACTTTGACCTTGCTTCCTGGAATCCCTTTCAAACATCATCATAAAACATTAAGAAAAGACATTTCAGCCCCTCAGTGTTATATCCTCTCAGAGCAAATGCTGCAAAAATACAGCTTGCTCCTCTAAATATCCAGACATTTCCAGACCTAGAACATGAATTCTGCCCTGACCACCTCTTAAATTGGCACATTATTTTCTCCATTAATTCTTGTCATCCTCGGAGGACAGCTAAAGGGCTACTATGAACCAACACCATTATTTTGAGTAGTAGCATTAATTTCCTATCATACACACACTGCCTGCAGAGCAATACAGGTCCGGGGAAAGTCATATTCCCATTTCTCTTCAACAGAATTATTGCAGGAGGCATGTTTCAGTGTTTACCTGACATACAGTGCAGCTTCCAGGCTGATGTATTCTCGGGGAAGTATCTGGCGTGTAAGAATATCTCCCACTCTGGGGCAAAAATTATCACAGATATGTGGGAGTTTACCTAAACTCTGCACTTTCATATGTGTGTGAAGAGACACTCACGCTTGTTTATGCACATGAATGAAATTAGACTTGTCTAAATCCTACAAGAAAGAAAGAGCATGTATGTGTGCATATTCATGCCTCGCAGCTATAAGACAACTATATTTAGACAGTTGTGTCATCCCAGAGATGACACCATTAACAGGCAATGAAAGAAGAGCTATGGTTACTTTTCAGAGTTCAGCTCTGACCGTAAAAAGAGGACTCTGATTGAAATGACCTTTCGTAGAGCATGCTACAGCCCGGCAGAGCAGCAGCACCTCTGCCCGTAGCCCATAGCACTGCGGGACGTGCGTGAGCCTCCCTCTCAGCTCTCTGCCCTCTTCCACGATGCAGCAAAGCCGAGAGCTCACAAACAAACACAAAACTTACTCCTCGTCAACAGCCGCCTGCTAAACCCGCTGGGACAGATCCCACCAGCAAAGCCCCGCGCCACTTCACTGCCTCGGACAACCCCACAGCTTGCTCTCCCCCGGCTCAGCGCCACTCACCCAGCGAGCCCCGGCTCCAGAGGGAGGGCTGCTCCGTCCTTCCCTCGCTGCTCCTGGAGGAGGTGGTGGCGGTGGTGGTAGCGGTGGTGGCGGTGGTGGCAGCTCCTGCGGGTCCCTGCAGCCACTGAGGAGCGCATCACCTCCCGGCCGCAGCCCGCGGAGGTGGGTGCCCAGATGTTCCCTGCGCGGATTGGTCCAGCGGGAGCAGATGTTGCCCGGTTGCTAGGAGCGTTGCTAGGAGCGCTGCTAGGAGACGGTGACGCTCTCTCCATCACTGGCGCGACTCGAGGCCGCGGGGAGGGAGGAGGAACGGGGAAGGAGGGAGGAGGGAGGGGGAGGTCCCGCCACCGGGATGCTCCGTGCTGCGCCGAGCCAAGCCGAGCCGTGCCGTGCCGTGCCGGGCGGGCCGCCGGGCTGCGGGGTGAGCCGGAGGATGGAGCAGATGCCGCGGCTCAGAGCTGGACAGGCGGTGAGGAGCTGCCTGAGACTCGCGGCAGAGGATGGGGATGTGAAACACCAAAACTGGGAGGGGGGTAGCAGCCCGAGGGAGTGGGAAGGGGGGAATAAAACCTCCCTTTGGGGCGGACTGAAGGAGGCACGGAGGGGGTCGGCAGCCGGGGAGGTGCTGAGTGCCCGTTGCGGCACTGAGAGGGCGAGAGCTCTGCTTGCTTCAGGGCAAGACTGGGAAAAACACAAGTCAGTGCCTAGAAAGGCTGGAGGGAGAGATGAGTCCAATTTGGTACTGCTGGCAGAGAGCCGAGCTCTTCTGCTCTCTCGCTGGGTCACGCTTCTCTTCCCTCCCGACTTAAATTGCTCCCTTCTTCCTCCATTCCCACATCAGATCCTCACACATTGTTTTTCCCCTGAGCTTTCGGGATGTTCCACCACTGTGCCCTGGGTCTCACCCTGGCAAATACACCCGTGATCCCAAAGAGGCACTACAGCACTCTGCAATCCCATGGGCAGAAATTGGATTGCTGCAGGAATAAAAGCTGCAGAGCAAAACAACCCAAATCTCCTCCCGAACAAAAGAGCAGGTCACTGTGGGGTGGGACAACTACTGTGCCTCACTCAGACAGCAGGATTTTACTGCTGAGCACACTCCTTATGGCAATAGGTAGGATATCAGGCTCAGCCTACCCTCATAACCGAGGGTCCAGCCAGCAAGGCCCAGAAAAAGTTTAAAAGGAATAAATACAATCTTAAATGTGTAAGTGAACAGAGGGGAAATCCCTTTCCCAAAAATACTGGCAGATAGAAGAATATGAAAAAAAATTTTTTTAAAAAATTCTTTTTTAAAAAACAGTTAGTACAGCCAACTATGCGTAGGGAACTTCCCTGGAAGAAGTGAGGCATTCCCAGAGGAGTTATACAAGTTGAAAAGGAGGTGTACAAGATGAGTTTTTCTGGAAAGCCAGATTGGTGCCAATGGCTGCAGTGAAGTTACCAGCACAATACTGTCTTAGATCAGTCCCAGCACCAAGCCTGGGCTTTGCTCAGGACTTTTCTCCAAGAGGAAATCTTCTTAGACAATAAATTTTCTTCTGTGCTTCCCAGCTGTGTCCTTTTCCACACAACTAGCATGGATGACACCGTAGCTCCTGAGAGGCTCATGCTAATACCATAGCCATCCCCATCACTCCATCCAGCCCATAAATCGTGGAATGGTTGGGGTTGGAAGGCACCTTAAAGATCATCTTGTTCCAGCCTCCCTACCATGGGCAGGGACACCTCCCACTAGACCAGGTTGTTCAAAGCCCCATCCAAATTGGCCTTGAACACTTCCAAGGATGGGGCATCCACGCCTTCTCTGGGCAATTATGTTCCATCTTGTTACTGACAGTGACTCAAAGTCTCAGACAGTGCCAAAAACAAGGCAAGGTGCTATGGGAAAACATTCATTTCAGCAGCATCTGAAGGTCCTGGGCAATCCCCTGTGCTCTTGTGATCTGTAAGATGGTGTCCCACACACGTTGTAACTTGGCATATCACTGCTGGTGGGACACATGGACTTCCCCTCCCTCTGGTTGCTCCAGAGTCTCTCTGAAGATCCTGCAGAGGAGCATGCACCAGCCTTAGTCCTCCTCCCTCTTACATGGTAGGAATGGAAGCACACTTCAACTGGCATTCCCCTGGATCAATATCTCATCCAAATTTTAACAAACTGAGTCTTGGTAGGCCTGAGTCCCAGCTAACACACATCAATGCCACAGACTCAAACCAGTTACTCCCTTGACTCTGAGCATCTGGCTGTGTTTGGTACTCAGCATGCACGAATGTGTGAATGCACTCAGCTCTCCTGGTCTTTGCAGTTTGAGGAAAGATCACTCACAGCCATATACTTACTTCAAATTATCTCCGAAGCTCTGCTTCTTTTATTGAGAAGTCAAATGAACTCCAACTGATTTCAAATTTGAATTTTCTAGGACAATAGGATGGCACTGGAATTTAATTGATTTTGATTACCTACCTTATTATTATGCTGCCAGTAGCAGTAGTTCAGGTTGGTGTAATTTTAAATTTACTGTGAGATGAACCTGACATTTCTCTACTGCTGAATAGAGAACTTGAGCGATTCGTCAGCTCTTCACAAAGATGTCATAATTAATTCAGTAATATCACTTCTGTAAGCAGAGACAGAAGATACAGAAGCACCTACTCCGTGCCTAAGAGCTGAATGAACGACAGCCTCACTTTCTCCAATCTTCGTGAAAATTACTGTATTTTTTTTTAGCATTCAACACAACTTCGGCTGCAAAGATACATCTTCCCCTCTCCTCTCAGCACACAAGCAGGACTTATTAGCAGGCAATAATTTACAGCCAAAAGGTCAGCTATGTTTCCTCAGCTGGCTCCAAGAAGTATTTCCAACCCCTGATCAGCCTGGAAGAAATTCTTCCGCAATCCAGATGTAGCTGCTTTTCTTTGTCCGCTTTCCCAGGGGGCAGAGAGTGCAGGGAAACAGATCCCTGCCAGTGTAAACCAGCATTGCTCTGCTGGCTGAAAGGCATCTCCACCAAGATGAACAGCAGATGCTCCATCTCAAACCATCCCATCCCCTTCCTCCTGCCATGGGAGCATGAGAGATCACCTCCCCTCCTTGTCCGAAGAGGAGTTTTCCCCTCTGCCAGGGATGCCTGGTTGGGAATCACTGTCCAGCTGAATTGCACAATGTTTCAGTGCAACGGAAATTAAACAGACCTGTGAACTGGGATCAAAGTCCCTATTGACAGTGATATTATTTGAGAAGATAAGAGTTTAAATGTGTACTGCATAAGATAAAACCCGGACAGGCGGACAACAGAAGAGCAGCTTTTTTCTTTTAGTTTAGTCTTTTGAAAGCAGGATTGCCTGGCATAGTCAGTGTTATAACATATGTATATTTTAAAATGGTTTAGAGCAATTGCGAATATAAAAGCCCAGAACATTAGCATCTACTTTACTTTAACTGTCTCACAAAATTAAAAAAAAAATCAGTTCCTTCATTTCAAAACAGTTGTCTCCCCAAGTCAAGTGTTAAAGAAAAAGTGAATTAAAGTAATGAATTCAAGCACCAAACATTCAAAAGATGTGTGTACAAAAGCACCAGTCCTCTCAGGCAGCATATGCCTACACAGGTACTGTATTTCTAAACACAGCATGCAGAAGTTATTTTCAAAAGATAAAATATACCCAAAATGTTCAGCATTTGTATCTGAGAACTTTCAGATGTGAGGAGCTACATCCTGGACCAGGTTTTATTCCTGGCCTGGCATGCTCAGCTGCCTCCAGCAGACACAGACTCTCAAAAGCTTTCCCAGCCATTGACCCGTCACAGCAAATGAAGATGAGTAGCTCCAGTTTCTGGACCCTGTTTATGCCTCCCAACAGTTGGCCAACCTCAGAGGGACTAGATGCCTAGGGAGGCTAATCCTGCCTGCATCTAAAATGAAGCCTTTGCATTTCATTTCAAAATACTAGCTCTTTCTCTTTCGACTCTTCCAGTACTAGAACTCTATTTTTTTCCTCTATCTCCCAGTTCATTGTATAAGAAAATTTGTTGGTATTTTAAAATTTGAAAACTTATTTTTTACCTCCTTACATTTTAAAAAAACTTAGAAAAACCTTCTGAAACAAGCTGGGGAAGAGCAGAACTAATGAAGTTCATTTTCCTACTTATTTGTGCTCTTTATCCCCTACACCCTCCCCACCACCCCCAAACAAATTCCACCGTGTCCGCTTGGACACCCACAGCTCAACCAGAGACAGAACCAAAGTCAGCACATGCTGAAGCTTGTCTGGAGCTTTACACTGTCATGATGGACCAGCTGACCAACCCTTGGCCATCAAACCTACTTCTTTCTGCTTCCCTGTAAACGATCCTCTGCCAGCTGACAAAATTTGCAGAAGCAAAACTGCCTTTGAGACAGTTACCCTTCGCTCAAATGTGATTGAAATTGGCCAACCTGTTAAAAAGTGATGATGGTGGAAGAGAGACTGGCGAGGAGACAGATGGCAGACAGCTCAGCTTTAGCCTCCACTGAGCTGATTGAGAAGTGGGAATGCTTTCACCCTCTCGTGAAAAATGATATCACCCTTTCGCTGAAATTCAAAACTTAGTTTCCTGACATTAAAAATGTGACTTTTCCAACTGGTCAAAATTAGGATGAAAAAAGGGACGAAAAAAACATTACTTGGTGCTTTGCCAAGGAACGAAGTCATTCTAAGCAAGGAATTAAAATGCAGCTGGAGGAAGAATGGGATAATAAGAGTGATAAAACATAACACAGCCGGGAGCCAGGAGCCCAGCGAGACCCACACGAGTTGATGTTGAGCAGGGCCATCCCAGCAGGAGCAGCAAGTGGATTGCTAAGCCCATTGCACTTGCACTAGTTGTCCACCAAGCGCATAGAAATCCTGAGTCTTTTATTCCCAAATTTATGGGCAGCCTCACTAAGGCCAAGCTAACCAAGTGTTGGCACCAAGACATACCCCCTCTCTCCCCGAGTTCAGTGCCAGCAGCTTCATCATCACGTGTGCCGAGCTTGCACAGGGACACAGGCAAGTCTGCACGGAGGGGTGAAACAAACCCCATGCTGGTTAGCCCTGCACTGGGAACCAGCCTGAGAAAACCCACCCTGAGGCTGGGGACATTCCCAAAAGGACATGGTGAGGCTGCAGGAACAGCAACAAAAATGTGGTCTCCCCCACAGTGCTCGAGTCATCCAGAGCAATTGCTGGCACCCCTCAGTGCTGGGTTTACACGGGAGGAATTGGGTGAGTTGGTGGGAGGATTGAGGCTGGTTGATTGGGCAGGGAGAATTTTAAGTGGTTTTCAGAAAATGCATGGGGTGAAGCAGTGTTATGGGTAATCAAGCCAGAAAAACTCTGTGCTGGTACCGACTCAGACCATGTCACCACCTTGGCAGCCGTGCCCACCTGAGCTCCCAAACCCCTGAGCAACTTGCAGATGGTGCCTGATTCTGTAGA